GCAAGAGCAGTACCGACAGCAGCTGTCAGTGCGTGTCGGCGTGAAAGCGTTCGAGACGTTGAAGGTACAGCTATCGGAGACGGAGTCGGTGCCACTGAACCATGTCGCGAACGTGTCGCTCAAAAATCCGCAGCTGGTCATCATTAACCTCAGCTCCTCGCCGCAACTCGTCAAACAGGCAGTGAACGCGATAATCGCTAGCGGCCTGAACGTGTCACCGCAACAGCAGGGAACCGTGTTGTACGCGCCATTGCCGCGGCCGTCGCGCGAGCACCGCGAGCGCCTGGCGAAGGGCGCGAAGCTGATCTTCAATCAGCTGCAGAAGAACCTGCGCCACATCCAGCACACCCACGAACTACGGTTGCGGAAACTCGAGGGAAGTGTGTCGAAGGAGATCTACAATGCCTTGCTGCAGGAACTACACGATGCGGCGCACAGCCACGTAGCCGACGCTGAGAAACTCATGAAATCAAAGCAGAACGAGTTGCTGCAAGCAAACGACTGATCTATCGGCGGTAGTCGCCTAACATTTGTTTCGTCTTCCTCCTCGACTCACTATTTATATCAGTAATAAACAACTTCCATTTGTGTAATCATGGCTATTAGCATAATTTACTGTACGACAATATTTTCCAGGTCGGAAATGCCAGATCTGTCAATAAGCTTTACGCGAAAAGTCGGCAAGTCTAAAATGAGTCGAGTTTTCACCTAAAACAAATGATGTAAGCAAAACGATAAGCACATGATGAGTGTCCTACCTCTCTGAGGCACTGCTTCAGAACGTCCACAGCTGCTTCCGGAGTTAAATCTGAATCACGAAAAGTCGTCATTAACAGTACTACAGGGCGATGCAAAACAGATTATTACTTGTTGTAACGGTTTATGGTATTTACTTAGATTACCTAATTCATACGCAACTCTGAATATTACAATCTGAAAATATTATCAATATGCAGATGAAAAAATAGTGCAAACTACGTAAACAACGCTAAAGATATTGTGGTCAGTCTGGTGACTGACGTATAACTTGGATGGATAAGAATCGCAGAAAACGGAATCTTGGAGGCATCGAACAGTGGATGAAAAACGCTTATGATGATCATTAACTATAAGGATTACCAGCTACTGAGATATCGTTTATAGTTTTATGAGCCAACGGGCATCAGAGCGTCGTGTCAGACCGAAACAATATGGTGAGATTCACATCACAGGTTTAAATACAAAGGACTTCGCGTAACTGTAGCTCATTGTTCTGCCTATGTGTTAAGTTACTGGTACAGACAGTAAAGGAAGTTTTACGCCATGCTGAGTGAAAACAGAATGAGCGGTATAGATGCCTCTGATCACACGGTATTGGAGAAATGAAGGATAACGGTGAACGACTATGCGGAACTAGTGAGATGCATGATGTACTTACTGATGGCACAGTTTGTTTCCTAACAGATCGGTGCACAAGATCACACGGCACTCAGTCGATGCATCAACGCAAACCAGGCTGCCTAGGTTCTCATCACCAGCAGTCATCACGTATGCCTAGAAGGTATCAGGGTATACAGAAGTGCGTTGATCAGAAGTTGGGGATGGATAAAGTTAAAGTCAAGCTCTGATTCTTGATCAGCAGCCAAAAATCTACCGTAAACTTTGAAGTCGACAAGCCGGATATGTCCAGAAGTACTTCAAACATATAGGGTCACCACTGGTGGAAGATTAGGGTCACTTATCGATTATACAGGCCATATGTAGTGTATAAAGCCGGGAACAAAGTGAAGTAGTAACAAAGACAGTAGAACAATTAAGACGGAAGAAAAGACGAAGGAAGCCATAATTAAATTTGGAAACGAAACGGTTGCAAGAAAACAGCAGGTTTGCCAAAACGTTCCAAATTCAGGGAGTGGAGCACAAAGAGTAAATCAAAGATAATTAAAGAAAAAAGCACTTTTCTTAAAAGGAAGGATGAAATAATGGATGTGAAGAAAAACGACGTGAAGACCTTGTTCAGGAAAGTTCATAACCAAGTCCGTAAAAAGAAGCCTTGACCAACATCGATTATGAAAGAAGACGATAAAATCACGTCCAATTTTATAGATTTTATTTATAGAGATATGCTTTAACCATTTTGAGTCGTTACTTAACCCTGATGCAATTGCGAAACTGAACTCTGCAAAATATACCGGAACATATAGAACAAAATATGGAAGCCCATAATGGACCGCCTACACTTGAAGAACCGAATGAAGCCTTAAGCCAAATGGAAAATGGCAGAGCTGTAGTAACTGATACAACCAGAACTGAATACGCGTAGTGTGGAATGGTTGGAGAGAATTATTTTGGACTGGCATAGCAGAAAACAGAGATTCAGAATGACTGGACGAAAGATATCATAGTTCCAATATTTAAGAAAGGCTGCTGAATGGACCTAAATAACTACCGTTGAATAAGTTAATCATTCTCTGACTGGACGAAAATTCAGTGCAATTATAGAAAACGGATAAAGACGACGAGCTACCATCGAGGCATTAGGAAAATTACAGGTCAAAGGATATTTTTGCTGCTGAGGAGACTGGCTTCCTTTTAAAATTTCTTCAAAAGAAAACATGATCTAAGAGAAGAGGTTCATACCACCGCAGAAAAATGCGCAAATAGTTACTGCTTTATTACAGTTTAATTCAGACGGCAGAGAAAAGATGTTTCCTTTAAAAATAAGGAAGCAGAGGACGCAAACATGCTTTAGAAATGCTCGGACGCCACGATGCCGGTACACAAATATTCATAGAGTGAAAATGTACGGATGGCAAGTACTACTCTCAAAATATTCGTTATTGATGAAAGGGTGGCTGTTGTAAGCAAGAATACAATTTCCTTACAGGTGTCACACACAGCGTCCAGATAAAGCTCTCGTGGAGAAGATTAAGATAGTACTGTTTTAAAAACATATTACAGCAAGTCTTATGAGAAAATGAACAATTTCTTGACACAATTTAGCTTACCTCCATTTAGCGGAACTTCTGTATATAGGAACGTACAGTGTACCGAAAATCTCAGTTCAGCAAAACAGAAATCACACTACTATAGGCTCGTTAAATAAAACTTTCGCTGTATCTATTGAACCCTGTAGCATTTGGAATACCTAACTTACTTCGTCAAGATGTCGTGCGTTATGCTATTTTCACAGCACAACGCCTTTTTCAACTTTGAATTAATAAACATTGTGCTTATTTGCGTCGATGTTTGAATCAGCTATCATGTAGCCAGCAGTCAGACACGCAACTATGCACAGCAGCTATTCAACAGACAACGTTCTGCGTTGAACAACGTGAACGAAGCCCTGTCATTATAAATCAGGATGAATGCTGTTTTCATATATTATGAACCACCGATACTTATCCCCGGTTTTTGCAGTTTCAACCTCATCATATATTCACCCCCTGTTCATCAATTTTTCCAAATTTTTTTAAATTTTGTTATACATTTGCGCGTTCGTTTTCACACCACTGCATGTTTTGCAATTTTCTGTGCTTTACTATCCAACTCTGTACTTTGTCATTGTTTGTGAAATATTCCTGATGGCTTTTGCGCCGGAGGACGAAACGGCAGAATAAAAGAGAAAGGAGAGTCTTGTGGCCAATGAAAACGTGGATGGTTAATAATCACATTTCGCATATCTTAACATCGAATACATCTCGCAAAGGACATAACGCAGGACTTGTTGCTGTGAGTTTCTGTCCTCAGGAGGACCAGCGAAACATGGCGAAACTCGGTATTGTGCCTCCAGTCATTTATCTTTCAACAGGAATAATCTACGTATCTGAAGTCTCGAAACTCGCACCTGCTATAACAGTACTAGTCTTCTTTGCTTAACAGTGTTTAACACTGACAATAAATACCAGACATATCTTACAAATCTTACCGTCTCGATAAAGGCGGTCTAAAATGCTGTAACAGAACATCGATCCATAGCCGTACATCACAAACGGTGCCTGGAACATCGTTCCAAGATAATCGACCATCGTCACGTATGGTCCATTGGTCTGATTGTAGCCTCCGAGAATAAAATTGACTGCATATGGTTCCTGAAATATCAAACAGAGCAGTCATCAAGTAACTATTAACGCCACCCAACTGTCAATCATTTTATTCGGTAATGAAGGGATGTATGTAGTGAAATTTAGCGAAACGATCGAAGCCAAAACGATGTTTAAAAAAATATTCCGAAGTGGAATCTGCTTTTGAACGTCTATCATGTAAGCATGGTAGCGGAAACGCAAAAATTTTGCATCCGTTATGCTGAGCGTAACTCACACGACCGTATTTTTGGCAGTTGCTGACCTTGAAAATCTCCATATGCTGACCGGATGAATCGCTCAACATTTAAATAAAACATGAAACGTGCTAAAAGAGACAAAAATTACCACTCAGTTTGAGGTCAGTCCACCAAGTGACCAAATACCCTTTACTCTTTAAACATATTTTCGGCTTTCGGGTAGGACAGAAGCATAAAGTCAAATGTTGCAGCAAATTCAATACCAGCTAACTGCCAAGATTCGGAAAGATAACTGAATTAGAACTCCTGCAAGAGACTAATCACTAATATTTGGCATGACAAATATCTTAGGAACTTGAAGCAACGAATTCGTTGACTCAGGCTGTAAAACATTTCTATAAGTCATCTTGCCCCTGACTTTTAACATCTGCATAACTTTGGTTTCACCAAAGCATTCTATTGATACTCGCGAACGCTAGAGTTTCTATTATTCCCATAAACTTCAAATGAATTAGGAATCAGGGCGACAGAAGCGCAAAGCAGAAATTGACATCCATCCGACTGGCAATTGATTAGAAGAACGGAAAAGAAGAATATGATCAACAATACCGCAACTAATACAACAGAAGATTCGCTTCCAGGGTGTCATATATTCTTGAAAGGAACAAAAACGACCGATGGCAACTGGACAGTGACGGACTGGTATCCAAGAGGCCACAAGGGATAAACCATAAGTTCTCGGCTTAGATGAAAAAAGCCACAGAAAAGCGATGGAAACTTGAAGCAACAAATCGCACATGAAATGTAGACGTGGGCATCGCGGTCAGCCGCAGAAGACTCTCGCCACCAGCCACAAAGATCAGTTACAACTTTTAACGCGGTAATATGTCAATGATATCAAAAACTCTGCAGTCGTTACCCAAGCCTAGTATATCAATGACGACGGCAAAGACAAGCTGAAGCAGATGAAAACTACAATACTATGAAGAAGGACTTACACACAACCGACTAACCTACCAATGAAGCAGGTAGAGAAACCTAAAACGTATGAATGCACTTCCAAAAAGTAGGACACTAGATAATGAAACGCTTGCTGTTATGAAACCATTTGATACTACCATGTTCCCGATACCTGTCTTTCGAAATAATAATATAATGTGCTACCACGGAATCGACACCGAGATAAAGACCGAGACGAAGTTTTACCGACGATAACGTATCCTGCACACAACTAATAGCACTGAAACCACGAGAACCACGCAAGACCGGAAGAAGTGGTGCAGGATTACACATTATGCTATCTACCTTCTGAACAAAAGTTCGCAACGATACGGTAAGAAACTAAAAACACGAAACAGCATCAGTTCAATTTCTTCACGACTGACTGGTGCAGGAAAAAACAGACATTTTCAGAGAAGCAGTTCCCAAAATTATAAATCTGATCATGTCATCAACGCTAATGGGTAATCATAACACAGAAGGAAAGTCTGTAATCGCTGGAATGTTGGTCTTTCTCACACTTGCATGATGGGGCCATTTTGGCATCTTTCTTTTCATGAAGTTTCTGGTGGAGCACTGATATCCATCTCCATGCCGTCAGCCAAAAGTGTCCTATTTTAAATTTAAGAGGTGACAGCAGCTACGTGACAAACATAGCGTCTAGTCTCCTGTTTCCTTCCCTGTGGTGCTTATTTATCAGCATCCGAAGGATGAAAGCCGAGTGACCCAGGCCGGAGATCCAACCCAGGACCTCTCGATTCTCAGTCTGATGCCCTACCAATCGAGCAACCACGGACTGAAGCGATGCGTGGTAAACTCACTATTCAAAGGAATACGCGGCTAAGACAAAGATTACGCTTCATTTGAATCGAACCCTGTACTTCCGGAGTTCCAAGCCGACGTCTTACGCACGGTGTCACCACGAAACAGAAGAACAAGGTGATATCTGACAATTAGGTCCACTTCATTCCGTTAGTTCAGGCCGATAGGATTCATCGCAACTACACAAACACTTTCCAATATGGTTAAGATGCCAAACCGAAAAACGGCGAGACTTGCCACCAACTTCCGACGAAACCACGATGCCCTCCGAAGCTACAAAGGTAAAACGGAGCGAGGCCCATGTGTGCGTCTATTTCATCAGGACAACCTTGCGTAAAGAGAGTCGTGGACTGAGCTGTACGAAATGCATTGTTCGCCGTTAAAAACTGAAAGTAGCAGAATGGACTAGGTTGTTTTGCATTTCTCGAACAACAGTAATTCACGAAAGATCACGTTACTGTCAACCGCTGTTCGAGTCATGCGAAACTATGTGGTTGCCAGACGCTAATATGTATGCAACTAGTGCACTCGCTGTCCGCTCGGGAATCCTTATGCACCCGCACGCAAGTCAGGAGGCAAATAACATTATGCCAGTAAGGAAACGACCCTCCAGACATCATAACTATTCATTAGAGCCCTGACGATCGAATGTTTCGCAACAGTGACAAAGATTAACCGTTACTATAACTTATTCTTGTCATGTGATACTTATGGGACATGTAAAATGCTCATTTAGAAGTTGCTGGAGAGCAGTTGTTGAAGCCGTCCATACTTTTGCTATACTACCAACCACTATATAGATCAGACGGACATTCGTGGTTTAACCATTCACCCAACACTTGCACTTGGATAAGTGTCAAAATATGCTATGTCGTGCTTCATGGTTCGTTCTCAACCATGACGCGGACTGTGGCATATATCTGAGAAGTAAATAAGAAAAAAGCGCCATGGTTGTATCCATTGGGAATATCAGAATCACTGCAGTGCTGGAAAACGGTCAAAGTGGAAAGTAATTTTAAGAAACCCGTCATTCCGTTACATATATTCGAGTCGCCTACCGAAGTGCGCAGGTTATCTGTAATCGCCTTTCTCGCGAAGGTGGCCACCGCCTCCGGATCCAGTTCATAACCTGTAAAAAACGTCGTCCATGAACCAATGAAAAATGGAGCTCGGCAAAAGCTTACCGCAACGCAGTTTGTAGAGGTGTACATTTTTGACAATATACTCGGCGAACTCGTCTGCATCGCCACCGTCTCCAACGCAAGCCATCGTCATTCGTTCGCCGAGACGATAAAACTTGTCGTCGTCTAAAATTAAAGCGAAGTCATTTGTTAGGCTGACATGCATGAGCCCACGACGCCAAGAAGCCATAAAGGTGAGCTATGTCGAAAACTGGAGATTACGAACAGGAAGAGGAGAGCTCGGCAGACAGCACGGGGCCATTTTTTGCTGGAGAGGGGCTCAAGGAAAAATTACCGTCTAGCTAACTTAGCGACACGAATTAATATATAACCGATGTACAAATTCGTATCGATTCGGTGTATAGAGAACGAAACCATTAGTGAGAAATCTTCTATTTTCATAGTTGAAGGCACAAAAACCAGCATAAATTTTTTACTTGAAAACGAAAGTGTTGGACATCATGGACAATGTCCATCATCAGAGTTACAGTGAGAAGAAGCACAGAGAAAGCGGCATATATAACTAAAATATGATCACTATTATAACAGCAAACACAATACAATCTTAATCTACTGTACTCAGAATGTATACGCGCTGTTTACCCAGAAGAAAGCCAATGATTTTGTCCAACATGTGGGCAGGAAAATAGTTTTCATGACGATTGTACGGGTTAGTGTAAGAGGATGAGTGTACGAACATCGAATTTCTAGCGTTTATCAGCTCTCATTTATTTCGTCTATTCATTCTGAGGAAGAAAGGAACCCGTTCAAAGTTACCTGAAAATTTAGTGAAGATATTCGTTATTCAATGTCTGTCATTTTTCAGATGTGAAAACAGTCGAATTTTTTATACAGGAGTCTAATTCAACTGGGCAACAATTAGCTTACGGAATGATCTGCCCACAAAGTTCATTTTACACAGAATCTGTGACGTTTCGTATCCTACTCCCTTCACCTTCAGCGTGTGATATCATGCAAAGCAAATTCTTAGATAATTTTTATTTGTATGATTGCATTTCCTGACTACGGATCAAGTATGCCCAAAAACATTGAAAATTCTGCATTATCGTCATCAGCGTTTTTCGATCCACTGATGGATGAAGACATCTCCACGATTTCGCCATAAACATGTTTAGTGTAATTTCTGTCCATCTTGATGTTCATGTCCATTTCTGTCCATCCAGCGAACCTTTTCAGCTCATCCTGCCATCGATTTTCAGACCTTCCAACGGGAAATTTACTCTCTTGGAACTTAGTCTCACGTCACTCTAGTATCCAGCGATGGTGGAATTATTTGCATCGTGTCCTGCCAATTGCCACTTTCGGGCAGTGAGAGAGTAAACTCTTAACTTATTTTCTTACCCATTCATCAACCTTCCGAATTTTTCTTGTTATATTATACAGAGTATACATATACATCTTTCCATGCCGCGTCGGCAGTCTGCATTTTATGAATAGTTTTTACGCTTAGAATTCACGTTTCGCAAGCAGAGGTAAATAATAGCAGCGTATTAATCGAATACTTTCCGTTTCAAGCAAAAAGGTAGTTTCCCCGATACGAACAATTTCAATTCATGTCATTTTTCCTCTTCTGACGATTTCACAGAGTCCGTTCTCCGTTGCAAAAATTAGCTGTATTGGTTTTTCACCTCTTTATAAGCCGATTTACTTCAAGAGCCCGTGGGGTCATGCATTTGTCAAATATAAACGGAGTCTTCCTTAACATTATTTTTAGTCAACCTTTGAAACTGACGTCGTGCAGCACTTGGATTCTTCGTTGGAGTTCTTCTAGAGATATTTTGAAGAAAAGAATATCGTGAATTGATATTCACTTAGGGCCGCCGTGAATAATGCTGATCATATTACATCACCCTGACGGATATCTTCTTCAATTTTAAATTGCTCGTACGTTCGGGGATGTTTATATTACTGTCGAGTGCTTGTAAATCATAGTGATGAGGTCTGTATATCCTTTCTCGATTCTCTGGCTGTTAAGAAATAATGCAGAGCAGAGGATCTAATCTGAGTAGAAAACTTCTCGACATCGACGAACCCCTGACAGTAAAGAAACCGATATTTTTTACTTGTCTGAATCACTTGTTTTAACACCTGAAGACTACTTGGAGATAATGCATCATAATAAATTCACTTCTGAATACTGCTGGTTCCTTTTTACCTGTGCAGTGTCTAGTTTGTCTTGAAGTCTGTTCATCAGCACCTTTGAGAAGTTCTTGCAGATGACTGAAAACAAACTGATCAGCGCTTATTCTTCAAATCCTATCTGCCCCCTTTCGTAGAGTAAAATCACTTATGCGATAGTCCAACCGTCTGGAATTTTTATTTCCTTCATACAGCATGAAAACAAGCGCGGAAATATTTTGGTCAACGCTTCATCTTCTAATTCCACGAATTTCACCGTAATGCCATCTTTGTCAAGAGGCCTTTGTCGTTTCGGTCGTTTCATTGCTTTTCGCTCCTCTAGCAAAATGCCTGGAATTTCTTGTCTGCCCCTGATGACAATTAAGTGTTCTGCTATGACAAGTAAAATGTGTCGTTTACAGACCGCAAATCTTTGATTTAGTTCCTTCATGCTTCAGGCTTCAGCTGTCTTCAAAAGTTTTCTTTACCAATGAATGCTTAAAAGTCTTATTTGATCCGTTTGTTCAATGCTAAGGAGATTCTGTGTGTAATTAAATCAATACACTGTGTCATTCTGCAAAAGATTTCTGCCGAATTTTCGACATCCATTCCATGTGCAAATAAAAACTTGTCTGTGCTAAGTAAAAGTTTGTAGTTCGTTAATCAAACAAAGCAGTACCTTTCTTCAAAAACCATATTTGCTCTATGGCTAAGGTGTCCGCAGCTAAAATGACGAAATCCTTCGTTTTTAAGCCGAACAAGTAGTTAAGCATCGTGTGTCGCCTGGCTAATCTAAAAAGACTAAGCAATGAACATGGCAATATCGAACTTCATAATTAACTCTTTTGACGTTCAAGGCAGTGCGAAAGCATTCTTGAAGTAGAACGTAAATAACATTTAACGTTTTAATCATATGAAACCGGATAGCTAATGGATTTTCATGTGCTGTATCAACTGCAGTGATTGGGTCCCCTTACTCGGGAATAAATACTTTGGAAGCGACCCTCGACAGAAATACCGAAGCGGGATGATACGCAATCGACAGAAGGATACTGCTCTGCATATACTGCAGTGAGAGTGATTCACTTCGACTGGCGCATATTATAAATAACATCTCCCATGAATTGCATGAAAAACTGTCTCAGCGAATCACATGAACTACCAGTACAAGAACAATGAATGCACCGAACATGCAGGATTTCTGTTGCCTGTCTCACACATGATCTGCAATTACCAGTTTCATGGTCAAGTAGTACAACAGTCTGAAGTTATTCTAGCCATGTCAGACTCTATAAGCAGTTAAACTTTAAACTATAGCAAATCGCTAATACACAAATATGTAAACGAATCTGCTGAACAAGGGGTCCGATAGGGTTGGAATGTTTTAGAGGACAAGGATTGAAAAGGTGAAAAGATTTAAACATCGGAACGTTATAGCTTTTAAACTGCTGACCGTTTGAATTCGGATTTCGCACCAGAGTATGTATGAAGGTAAGTATATATGTACGTTTATATGTATCTATGTATGAATATACCGATGTATGAACTATGTATGTCCATGGGTTTCCAATGAAAAAGAAAATATCTACGCAAGCATAAGGTATACAACCGTGAAAGAACAAAAGCAGTAGCGGGTCAGAAATGGAAATGGCCCATGATGGAGAAGAGGAACAATGTTGGTTTGATTCTTAAAACAGAATGTCTGCCCTATCGATTAGGCATCGGATCATAAAGGACACCGAGGATTTTCAAAACACTTCCAATCTACATCGAAACGACTTCAAGTGGTTCCCTCTAATGACCACTACAGAGCAGTCTTCATGTAAAGCAGTATATCTTTACTAAACAAATATCTTGCGATTACGGTGACTTTCCTTAAAGCACGTCGAATTCATAACCTTCGCCTCTATGTTCACATTCCTTTCGGTGGGAAATCTTATATTCACTGACACTGCCTTATGCTAGCACTAGAGGAGCAGTAACTGACCGACATACCTCTCCTCGACATCAGGGTTTCAGGTGTTTCAGGGTTTGTGCTTTAGTGTTCACACAACAGCTCAGTAGGAACCTGGCCTAGTGGCTATCGTTCCATATATGCAATTTTCATTTATTGTACGCTTTGAGGCGCCCTGCTGATATTTCATTAAGTCAACATACTGAGACCTTCGCATTCAATTTCATAGAAACTTAAGGAAAAGCACTTGGGATAAACTCAGTACCTTTTGAAGAAGATCCTTAAAATAGTCAGCGAAATTCTGACACGGTGTAATTAATAAATCTATTAATCTGCTAAATCCGAGATTAACCCTGCGCACGTTCTCTATCAGCGTTGGCAATGGTCGTCAAGACAGCGTTCTGTCCCCTCTCCTGTTTGTGTTGTACATGGATAGAATTGCCAGGAGCAGCCAAGGTGATGAATCTATCTGTGTAGGAGATGTGGAGATGAGAAGCTACAATTTGCAGATGACCTTATTTTATTGGCATCGTCTGAAAATGATGTACAGTGCTCCCTACGAAGGTTCGCAGCTAAGTTAGACGTGACCGGCATGCATGTGAACGCATCCAAAACTAAAAGC